TTTGGTTAGTTTAAAAAATGCTCCCGTTACATCAGTTGATGTTGAACGAAGTTTTTCCATATATAAATATATGTACTCAGACAGAAGCCACAAGTTTTTGTTAGAAAATTTTGAACACCACTTGGTCATTTATTGTTACCATAATTCTAAATAAGTTTATTCATACTTAAAAATGATGTAGTTACTTAAAATAAATGTAAATCTTAATGAATAGTAGGAAATATTTAGTTATGTACACTTTTTTTTTTAAATAAAATTGTTACTATTTTACGATTTTTTTATTTATTTGTATGCATATTTTGTAAAATATTTGCATATTTTCGGGTAAACACGTGCATATTTATGCGCATATTTTCTACATTTTTATTTGCATATTTGCCGAAGTCTAATTATAAGCTAAATTAAATCACAAGTGGTATTTTATTAGACTATTTCATGAACAAAGTGATAGGTCAAAAATTCAGTAGAATGAGAGGAAGGAATTTAATAATAATACATTTGATCTAGGTAATCACTAATCTAGGTAATTTGCAGTAGTGTTCCATATGGTTTTAATAACTCTCTCCTTGTAATCACTACCATCACTTCGCATGTTGAAGGCCCAGTCTTTTAGAATGAATGCTAGTCTTTCGTTGTTATTTTCTGCATCTAATTTGTAGTTGTGATCCACACAGAACATCATAAATTGTCTCCATATATAAGATTTAGATTTTCTTGTGTTACTCGGTATATTTTCTTCAATGTATTGGTTTATAAATTCGTTTGAAGTACCAGCGAAACGACTCATTTTGACGTATACAGCTACAATAATTTTTTTGGCAAACGTCAAACTTTGCTTTGCGATCAGTATCCATGGTTACGTTGTTGAAAACACGAAGCTGATAGACCAATCAGAATTGAAAGACAGTTGGTGTTTTCGCGATAACACAAGCTGTCTTTGGTTTGTGATTGGTCAGATTATGTGATAATTTTAAGATGAGTGAAATAGTCTCTAAAATTACACAGTTGTATGCGTTTTTAGAGAATATGCAGATGCCACTGCTTGCTCCACTCTCGGACTTCTTCCAAGCAGGAATACTTATAACTCATTAAAGGAAACTCATTAAGTAGCCACAGTGTTTTAGTAAGACACAAAACCGTCCAAAAATATCTTGGCCAGTATAGCCAAGCCGGAGATGCTAAGCTATTTTTAAGTTAGGAAATACCTGGTTTAAAATTTCTTTTGCTTTAATTTCATCAGATTCTTTGTTATTTTCCGGAACACCCATTAATAAAATATTTTTCACGTTGTTTCCTATCAGACAGATCTATCAGAATATTTTCTGCAGGGGCAGATTCTATTTTCTGGATTTTAAGTTTTAAGCTGTTCATTTGTCCTTCTTAGAACTTCTATTTCTGAATTATGTAATTCGCCTTGGAAGGCAAGATAGAAGGAAATCGGGGCATCGGAAGAAAGAAATACATGGCTTAAAAACATAAGGGATTGGACAAACCTCGACGCCCATGCACTGTTTAGATCCACACAAGATCGAGAGGAGTATACCAGAATTGTCGCCAACATCCACTAATTGCATAGGGCACCATAAGAAGAAGAGATTTGAGTGTTACATCTTGCGATAGCGTAATTGAAATTAGAAAACTGAGCCATAATTGCATTGAAGTGCAATGGGATAGCGTCGTCTTCTATTGTACAATTTTCACACTTCCATATCAACAGAGTTGCGGGTGAAAATTTTAAGAGTTTGGGTCGAGCATAAACACTGTGCTACGTTGTTTTGCATCGAGAACATTCCAATTCGCTGTAATCTGTCGCTGATTTAATTTTATGGAATTCAACCGTTCAACTTTTAACCTATGTTGATCAAATTCACGAGCCACTATTAAACAATTTTAACTCTACGGTTGCTAGAACCAAACATTTTTACATACTCCATAGTTTAGCCATAGCAAAAGGAAACCAGGTGTTTGGCATACCCTATATATATATTCAGTGTGTCCCAAAAGTAACGTATACAATTCATTATTTTGTCCTTGATAGAGAGAAAAACACAAAGCGAGCTTGATTTTTATTTTCAAATTGTAATTTTTTCATCATCATATTTGTCGAAGTTGCGATGTCATCAACTTCACAAGATTTCTAGTTTTGGTCTCTCTTAAAGACACAGCCACTTTTGGACAATTACTTCACTACAGATAGTTTATATCAAATAAACACCAGCAATTTGACAATGTTTGTAATGTAAAAAATTAATTGTCAATATATGTGGGGGACTACAACAGTCACCATGAGCAATGAGAATATAAACAATGCAACAGCAATAGGAATGCACTAGTAAAATGTGCGGAAGACAAACATCTATCACTAAAGTTTGAAGCTAAAGACCGACTTACATTCATGTCAGCAGCATGGAAGAAGTTTTGTATCTACTAACAAAAACGGGCAGTTTGAGCTCTATCAGTCTCTCGAAGAGTAATGGGCGACTTCCCACACAGCCAACACCGCCCAGTAATCTTAGAGGCAGGAACCCAGACTCCTATATACACATCCATCCCTCGCCCACGTTGAAATCTAAAGAAAGTCATTTGGGGTAGCTTTTCTGCGGAACTGGACAAGACTCTGGGCTGGATACCCCCTACTATCAGAAATTACAAAAGATTCGTTGGAGCCGTAATAAGCACGGACAAAAATCATATAACAACGGGCTACCGAAAAGAATACATTCCTGGTTGGTCCCATAACAGCGAAGAACTGTACCAAAATTTATTTGAAAGCGGCAATCAAGAATTAGCCGATGAACTATTTCATAGTCTAGATGCAGCGAGACAACAAAAATGCACGAAAACTGTAGAAAGTTTTAATTTTCAAACAACAAGTAAGCAAGCATGGACACTACTAAGAAATTTAGGAAGCGGAACTCCCATAACAAGGAACAAAACAACCATTAACCCAAACAATATTGCCGAAAGACAAGCCACACACAATCAAGGTAAAACAAAAGCTCAAAACTTTAAAATTCCAATCTGCAGAAACCAAATACTCTTGCCCTTTCACTTGCGAAGAAGTCACTATAGCTCTCAAGGATGTAAATCCAGGTGAAGCCCCAGATTTTGACAATATTCATACCGAATTCTTAATTAACAGCAGAAAATATGCGAGAGAATGGATGGCCCACTTTTTCACAGATATTATGAAGACCGATACCATACCACAGAAACTCAAACGCTCGAAGATCATTGCCATATTAAAACCAGGGAAATAAAATGATAACAACCCTAAGAACTACAGGCTATTAGCCCTACTATCGGCAACTTTCAAGCTACTAGAACGACTTATCTACAACAGAATTAGTCCAAAACTACTTGAATCAATACCGGTTGATCAGGCAGGTTTCCGACCGAAAAGAAGCTGCGCAGATCAGATTCATTTACTTACCACATTTATTGAGACAGGGTTCCAGAGAAAACCTAAAACTGCAGCCGCATTCATAGACCGAACAGCGGCCTTCGACACAGTCTGGAGAGAAGGCATGATATAAAAGCTTCTCCGTATAATCTCCTGTAAATCCACCGGTCGAATAATTAACAGCATGCTAGCCGACCGAACGATTCAAGTAATCATGAGAACCGACATTAGCACCCCAAGAAAACGGAAGAATAGACTGCCTCAGGGATCTGTCCTAGCTTCTCTTCTCTTTAGCCTATACATCGCTGATATACCAGAAACCAGATCAAGGAAGTTTGGTTATGCCGATGACCGGGTCCTTGCAACAAGGTGTAAGTCATTCGAACAAACAGAAGAAATCCTTTCGGCAGATTTACACACAGTGGGAAAGTATTTCCGTAAATGGAGGCTCCAACCAAACGCTACCAAAACAGAGGTTTCCAGTTTTCATCTAAATAACAAGCTTGCAGGAAGAGCACTGAACATCCAATTCGAAAACACTACACTCGCCTGAAATAAAACACCTAAGTACCTTGGGGTGACCCTTGACAGAACTCTATCTTTCAAGGAACATCTGTCAAAAACAGCGGAAAAACTTAAATCCAGAAACAACATCATCCAGAAGCTGTGTGGCACAACTTGTGGAGCATCGGCTTCCACCACCTTGCGATCATCTGTCCTTGGCCTTGTCTTCTCAACCGCGGAATACTGCTCTTCATCCTGCCTTAACAACCCACATATACACAAAGTAGATGCCCAATTGAACAATATAATGAGAATTATTGCTGGTGTTATCAAATCCACCCCTACGCAATTGCTCCCAGTACTGAACCACATTCCACCACCCAAACTACGGCACATACACTTCCTCACTAGTGAGTACAAAAAGATACTCAGTAAAGAGATCCTGCTAATTCATCAAGATATAGATGCTGCCAACAGTAACCGTTTATGCTCCAGACGACCGCCAATAAAAACAGCACAGATTGCTGTGGAAAATGAGTTCAACTTAACGACCACTTGGACTCGAGAATGAATGGAACAACAAAATAGCAGCTTACCCTACATCACATAAAAACCATCAGGTTTTGACTTACCAAGAAACACACGGACTATGCTGAACGAAATCAGAACCCAACACGGCAGATATGACTACATGATGCACAAATGGGGTAAACGACCATCCCCACTCTGTGACTACGGACACTCCAAACGTCACATTACAGAACAGTGTCCCACAAGATCCTATCAAGACAGGTTAGAGGAGATGTTCGTTTGTAATCATATTATGTAATGTTTATACAAAATATATGTATATTTAAATATAAATGAGTCAAGTGCCATACGATAAATAAATAAATAAATTTCTTCAATTTAATAAAGAGTAGGTATCTTATTTAAAACCTTCAAAAAAAATATTAGAGGTGCGATAAAAAAATTACAATATGAAAATAAACGTTTGTTTCTTAAAACTTGCTAATGTAATGCTTAATGGCACTATTGTTAAAAGTGCCATGTTTGAATAGTTGAACAGATAACAATTCTTTGCTTAACTTACCATTTGGTTATGGTAAAATGGGTCGATGTCCTCGAGTGGTGTGCTGGCCAGTTCTGGAGGAAAACTGCCCTGGAGACGTACCGGAATAGGAAGACCCTGCTCCAGAGTAGGGTCGGGCTGAGGCCCTTCATCTTCGTCCTCGTCCTCATACCGAATCTGTGTATGATACAAAAATTAAATACCTGTTTAAAACGCTTTTATTCTACATGTTTTAACCTTTGTGTGTATATGTTTTGTATATTTGTATTTATTGTTGAGGTATTCACCTGTTAGGTTGATCCTTATAAGAGTGTTTTTATGTAAATGTAGTTTTGTCAGACTTTTTTTGTTTTAAAATTAAGGAATTTAGATTGACTGTTTCCTTTTTAAAGCTTTTGAAACATTAAATAAATATATTGTCAGTTTTATTTGGTTTTGATCTAGAAACACGCCTTCAAGTAATTTTGAAATCGACTAAAAAATAACTAGAAAATAAACAGTTTGCGAATATACAACTCAACCAAACCGATATTTAAATGTTTGAATTGCGACAAAAAATTGCTAAAATCTTTCTATGACACAAATAGCAAATTTACCAACAAATAACTTAAAATATTTTTTTTTATTTAAAGTTCTTACTAAAGTTATATTTCCATAAATCAAAGTATTAGTAAACGTATGATAATTACTACCTTCTTCTCGACATTCAACTCTTAGAACAGATGTGCAGTTTGCAACTAAAAAGTTTTAACAATCACTTTCCCCATGAGTATCGATGCACATAATGAATCCACCCTTGTATATTTTATTATACCTGTAAGCTCTTTCCCCGCTAAAAGAGATTCCCTTTGTAAGGATTTCTTCGAGAACTAGTCCCGACAACAGCTGATATTCACCATACGTTAACAAAAAAGATGTTTGAAAATTATAGAGTAAGTTTGGATAAGTTTGTATAAAACATAAGAATATAGAAGGCCCTGCAATGATGCAACGCACAGATAAATAATAAATTTTTTTTATAGATATCATCATTATTATATTCTTATTAAGACTATAATATATACAGTAAGATATCTTTTTATGCGGAATATTTTTATGTGATTTTAAACTTCTGCGGTTTGTATTTCAACCAAAAATGTATCCAAAAATTTCTGTTATTACCTATTATAATTAAATATTAACTAATAACATCCAGATGTCAGTAAAGTGAACGTTTGAAATTCAGGGATTCCCTGGTTATTCCTATATGATGTCCCTATTATATCATTGCGAGTTTCGCATTAAAAGGTATACTTAATCCAAGGCTACCATGTCTAGAGATTTATCCCGAATCTTGGGATATTTGAGTATAAAAGGCACAAAGGGATTTTTTTGATATTTAGTGTAAAATCTAGGGATTTTTGACCGGCTCAATCTACATAGGCCTATTATAATATAATTTTCTTTAATTCAGGTATAAAACCACTTTGTATTAACAGTATTAAAGGTATTAAATAAGCGATCTTTCACTACAAATAATTAAACTACTGGTAAACTACTTAAGGATTGTATTATCAGATGTCGCTGACTGTCCACGTTCTTGGAATCTTTATTTTATGCTACCAAAACTAAATAGATTTCTGCCAAAAATAGATTCCTATATATTTTCAGAAAGGAGAAGCAAATTCTTCAGCAGAAATTAGGGGATTTACAAAAATCTTAGTTTTTATAAAATAAATAATTAGGGGATTTACAGTAGGAATCGGGTGAATTACAGAATTCGTGGAAATATATAAATAAAATTCTATGCTTCACCCTCTCATTTATCTAAGTTGTATTTTGTATTAATTTTATTAAGTGAAATAATACATAATAATATAAGGATATATATAAGAATTTATTTGGCCCAATGGAGAAAAAACAACATCAAAGACAATCAATTTCGTTGAAAACGAAAATTGCAATTTTAGATCATTTAGGAAAAGGAGAAGTATCTACGGCACTTGGAAAACATTTTAATTTAGACAAATTAACTGGAAAAGCAATTCAGAAGACTAAAGGTGCTATAAGAAAATCTATAATTTCTAGTACAAAATTAGGCGCCAAATTTTCATCTTACTCAAGGGAGATATTATTAGAATGAACAGAAAGAGCCATTGCAATTTCGATTAAGGAACTAATTTAAAGAAGAATTCATGTAAGTGGTTATTTAATCCAGGAAAAAACCCTTCAATTTTATGAGTTAATGGAACAGTTAGAGTTACCAACGTCCACTTCCCAAGCTGGTTAAGCATTTTCAGCTAGAAATCATCAGCATCATTTAGCATCATCATCATTACGTAGCCCTACAACCCTGGGTGGATCTTGACTGACTGTACAACTTTTTTCTAATTTGTTCGATCTTCCATCAACCTTGAAAATGATGATTAATAAAAAGAAATGGTCTTCATAATATTAAGATTATAGAAGAGAGTGCTACAGCAGATGAAGCAGCAGCAAAAATATTTCCACAGAAGCTAGCGAAAATTATTGAAGATGGGGATTATTGTGCCGATCAAGTATTTAACGCTGATAAAACGGGACTGCATTGGAAAACATGTATAACCGTACTTCATTGGACATAAAGTACTTATGTCAAAGGACATAAAGCAAGTGAAGATTGACTACCACTATTACTTTGTAGCAATGCATCAGCAGATCGGATATTGAAACCGTTCTTAACAAATAAATCCCTTAGACCACATGCTTTAAAAGGCAAATATTTAAAACGACTGCCAGTGATTTTGATGCCTAAAGAAAGTCTATGTGACAACAGCTATTTTTACAGAATGGTCCAATAATTGCTTCGTGCCAGAAGTAAACAAAAAAACAAAAACATTATCGTACTTCCAGCTGACAAGGACAACGCTATTGTCAAAATGAACATTGAAGATTACGATACAAAAATAAAGAATATTCTAAACGATAGTGCATATCAAAAAATCGCAACAGACCCATCAACGTATCTGGAGAAAATAACGAAAGACAAAACACAAGTGTCAAACATGAAGAAAGAATAACAGTTCCAGCTCATTCCACGAGAAATGTCGTCAAGATGTCCAAAACTTTAGGGTTTACCTAAAGTACATAAGGCAGAGCTACCATTACGACCAATAGTCAGCTTTATCGGATTACCGTTACAATTACTGGTAAAATTTCTGACTGACTAGCTACAACTATATGCGGAGGAAGCGGATTTTTACGTTAAGAACGCAAGTCACTTTATCAACTGTATCAAGAACGTTAATCTGGAATCTGAACACTTATTAGTGAGCTTTGATGTAATCTCATTATTTAACAATGTCCCAGTAGAAGAATCATTAGAAATTATACGTGGAAAATATCCAATACAGGATACACTTAACTTGACCAGGCACTGCTTAAACAACACCTATTTCATCTACAAGGACCAGAGGTACAAACAAGTTGAAGGGGCACCGACGGGTTCACCACTATCATCTGTAATAGTCAACCTTTTTAAGCAAGATATGGAATCGAAAGCAATAGAAACAGCAGAACATAAACCCAAACTGTGGCTTAGGTATGTTGACGACACATCTATTATCTGAAAGCATGGAGAAGAGAAACTTAATTAATTCCTACAACACATTAATAATATCCATTCAAAAATACAGTTTAGAATGGAACGGGAGAATAACCAACAACTTTCATTCCTAGATGTGTTAGTTATTAAGAAAGAAGACAGATGCATAGGACATACAGTATACCGAAAATCAACCCATACTAACGGGTACTTACACGCAGACTCACACCATCATCCTGCACAATTAAAATCGGAAATAAAAATGTGAATAACAAGATCTGAAAAACTGACAGATGAGGACTCTAAGGACGAAGAAATGTACAAAGTGAAACATTTCTAAGAAAAAATGGCTTCTCCATGTCCATGATTTAAAAGGCACAAATATCTCAAAACAAAAGCAATGATTCAGAAAAAGAAAAAAAAACAGTCGGAAAAACTATCCTGCCCTATATAAATGGTACGACAGACAAAATCAGCAGAGTGCTAAGATAAAACAAAATAGAAACTATTTTTAACATCGACAGAAAAATTTCCACGGGTACGACAGACAAAATCAGCAGAGTGCTAAGAAAAAATTATATAGAAACTATTTTTAACACCGACAGAAAAATCGCAACCATATTACCATCGGCAAAAACAAAAATTGCATTGGAAAATCAAGGTGTATACAGAATCCCGTGTGGGGACTGCGATAAATCGTACATCGGACAGACAAATCAAAGGATACAAGTTAGACGCGAAGTACATCGAAACGCTATCGAAAGAAAAGGGAAAACTTCATCCCTAGCACAACATGCCATAAACACAGGACACAAAATAGACTTACATGGAACAACAATGCTGGCCAATATCTAAATAATGCCAAACGTGTAATCAGGGAAGCCATAGAGATGGTAAAACATTCAAAGAATTTAAATACCAGAGATGATACCCAAAGACTCCCAAATACGTGGAAATCAATTCTGCAGAGAAACGTAGAAATTAAAATAGCGAAGAAGGCTCCGCCCACGCTGCTCACAGGACCAATCACAAGTAGTGCTAAAAGGTATTTAAACTCAGCTTACAGCGACCGAGAAATCACTTCGCCTGGAATATCAAGAAAAAGCAGACCTAATCTGACTTAACAATGGCAAGTGTGACCTTGCCGAAACGTTGACAAAACAATGGTTTTTGTAAAAACCAAAACTGTTTAACGCGAAATCAAACCAGTTGGCCTTATCAAGTCATGATGAACATTTATATAAAGAAAACCGTAAAAAGAAAATGACAGAAAAAGCGATGGTGGCAGAAGGAATTATACAATGAAAGGAATACCCAAATGTTAGCTTCAGACATTTACTCGTATACCGCGAATGGATATTTACTTTCTACTCAATAATATTGGAGCTAAAATGGGAAGAAAGTACACTGTATTCTGACGCTTAGATTTCTGGCTACCTGCGATTCATACCTACAAGAGTTGGGATTGGATGCAAAGGATATAAGAATCATCGCCAATCTGTATTGGAATCAGACAGCAACAGTACGTCTTCAAAATTCCAACGAAACAGAAGATTTCTCCATTAAAAAAGTAGAAAAAGCCTTCGCAGAAGCAGTGGAAGACTCTAATAAGGGT